TTTAGGGATCAAAACATTTTTAAGGAGATATAATTTTAAGATGTTGGCTTTAAAAATCCATAATTAGATGTGGACCAAACACTTTGTGCATCAAATCCATGCGTGGTAGAGGATTTTTTTTTTTAATCTTGAAGACCCTTCTGTGTCCTGCAACATAATTTGTTCTTATATAAAAAAACACTTACAAATATATAATTATTAATATTCTATGGTATGCAATAAAAAATTCTTACATTTTTTCGATCTCACCACCATTGTGGATCCATGAGTATTCTTCCTGTACCAGGTTCAATGGAAACACCAGTACGTCGAACAAGCCTTTTATATACCACGTACAAGGCTCTAAAGTCATCGTGTTACTCTTACATTTATCCCAATCAATTATAAATCATGTTTGTTCATGAATCTTTTTGATAATATTTCTTTTGCGTCTCTTTGTGGCAATGTCGAAGAATAGTTTATTTTTTGCACTTCTTCTTCTAATAATTCAATGAATAGAGAATTCAACATTGGCGACCATCTAGAAAATTNCTACAATTTATATTTCACAACTCACNATAATTAAATNTATTTATGTAGTATAGTTCTTGTATAGCTAAACTTTTGAAATATAAATTTACCATATTATTTTCGTTTGATGTTCCACCATCCGGATCTCCCGCACCGCTCATTGTTGTAGCTCTGCTAAACAACAATTAAAAAACATATTATTTATATGTAATTTTTTAAAATAATCGATAATATTTACACACTATATACATATTTAATGATGCATAAATTTAAAAATAAATATTTATGTTCAATTCTTAAGAAAAAACGATTATGTACAGTTTTTAAAAATTTATTTAAAAATAATCAATTCTTTTATATAAATGCAACTAATTTTTTTTATAAATTGATAACTAAAATTTTTAATCATAAATAATTATAACAATATTTCTGATTTTTAATTTAAAGGTATTTTAAAAAAATACTTAACAAAATATATAACTCAATTAAGTTATGTTATTTGTGGAATAAATATTGTAGTATGAAAAAACATTCTTATAAATATAAATGATGATATATGTAAACGTTATACGAATTATACAAAATAATGTAAACGTACTTGATTATTCTCTATGTTTTGATAAGTTAGAAAATAGTGAATTTTTTTTTCGAATAACAAAAAGCCTCTCAATTTTTTTTCTCTTCACCGGAATATGAATAAGTTTGTTTCATTGAATGAGAATTTATAGTCAAATTTTGATACATCTGTGACTTTTTTTTAAACTGTGTAACTTGTCTTTTTGTTGTTCACGTGAAGAAAAAACAATAATTCATCTTCAATTATATAACTTTTATCAGACAAGTGTCGTCTAAAGAGACACAAATAAGTCATCT